AAAAAATACCTTATTTTATATTAGTTTGCATTACTGTAGTTTGGGCATGTGAACAATTGTTTGTATAGGATTTTAATTTTAAAAAAATTCATTGAAAATGCATCCCAGTCACAGAGGTTGCTTCTTGATGGAAGGAGCTCTCTTCATAACATCAGCTTTTAATGTATCCAATCCATAGAGCTTCTCAAGATTATAGGAGGTCAGCTCCTATAATTAACTTATTAACTATAATGGTGTCTTTAACCGAAGGAGTTAGCCAAAAAAGGATTTCAGGAGAGTATGGTTTAGCAACAGCAGGTCTTAGGGTTGGCTGAATTTCCTCTTAGGCCTTGTGTGCAATCTCCCCAACTTCAGCTTGAAGTTCTTGAAACTTCACACTTCCACATCATGCAGCCTTTCCTCACCCCCAATCCTTGGCTAATGTTTTTCTACCCCCCCCTCAAAACGAAGCCTTCTTAACTGCAGGATATATGGTGATTCAGCTGCAATTGAGCTGACCATGCAATACCAGGTGGGATCTGCCCAGCTCCTATAATCTGTTTTCAGTTGCTGGGGGCACACCCCACCCCCTGCAGTCATCCACAGTGGGTAGGGGCTGACAAACAGGATGCTTGGTTTTATGACCCTTTGAAGTAATGTTTACTCTTCCCTCCCATATCCTCTATGCAACATGCCAGTTGGCAGATTGCACAGAGGAGCAAGGCTTGTTGATGGGAGATTATCCTTTAGTTTCAGCCAGTGCCACCACCAGCGCAATGTTTTAGCTTGTTACGTAGGAGATCTGAGAAGACAGAGCATGACTGAAGTCATACTTTTATCTCTCAGACAGCCAGCATTGCTGTGTCAATCGCCATCATCCCATCCTCTTGAATCAGACAGGCACTGCAGGTAATCTAGAGATGGGTAGGGTCTTATCAATAAGACAAAAACAGGAGTTCCCCATCCACCCCACAGTTCAGGTTCTAACAGACTACTAAACCCACCACTCTAGACATGTGGTCCAGCCCACACTGAGGAAGGTTTCAGGAAAGTTTTTCTTGCCAAGAGAGTAACATATCAATTGTGCACCTCAACTTTTGCTGCAGTAAACTGTTAAGACATCAGCCCTCAGACCTTCATTCATGAAGCAGTGTTGCAAAGGATTATGAGGACAGATCAAGTTTATTCTGGGATACTTTGTGGACTAGAGGACAGCACTTGAAACCAGCTGTCTAGAAGTGCTCTTAGATATTTTTTTTTAGAAATACAGCAGTGTTATTTGGAGAGATGGTGAAGGTGGGAAAAGAAAACAGGCTAACAAAGACAGTCAGAAACATTTTGGGAGAAGAGACCTAAGGAAAAAAGAATCATAAGGAGGAATCTCACTTCCCAATCCTGTTTTGGCTATGATTCCTGAAGCTTTCCCTCCCTGCAGCTGGCATGGCCTGTCTTCAATAAATGCATCCTGTATATTCTAAGCTTAGGAATTTGTATTTCAGCTCAGGAACTTTAAAAAGTTTTTTTTTTCTTATAACAATCCACTACACTTGCTCAGCATGGAATAATTAAAGAAATATTCCATTGCCACTTAATTGGGTAATGTCTCCATTCTCTTGAGAGATGGAAATAGTTAACCCTAAGAACATATTTGAAAGGATCCATTGGACACGTTTAAAAAAAATGCAAACATGAATAAGTGGCCCATCAGTTTGGGGGAGGGATACAGTCATCTCTAGTTGGGTCTCAGCCAGTTGTTGGAGCAGAAGAGGGAAGC